CATACAGTTTCAATTGGAAAAAATAGGAAAAATCAATTGTCTTAGCTTCTGGATCTTCTACCAAACCTTTCTAAAGTGGAGGAGAAAATCCATAATAGCTGTTTCTTACAATGTGCAGGAATTTCTGGCGCAATAAGAAGTCGAAGGTGCAGTTGCATTGCTTGATTCAAACCCAGACAAGGCCTCTAATTGAAGGAGCACTAGTTTACCCCCACAATCAAGGAGTTGCTAGATGAGCTTCATGCCTTAGTTGAAGACACCATCTACACTCCACCTTTGCGGACATTCAACCATTCAGATTTTGATTTTCATCCTTGGATTGAGATACCGAAACCAGCCCCATTATTAAAGATGAAATCCAAAGGAGGGGCCAGATTCTTAAGAACAGGTAGAAGAATTATTGAAAAAGGACATATTGTTGGGAGAGCATTAGTCCTTGTGAAGTTCCTGCTTTATTGGTTACCAAAAGGATGGGGACCTGGAGAATGTGTGTGGATAGTCGGAGGCCGTTCAATAGATCAACGGCAGTTTTCGATCCCTATTATCCTTCATCTGGAGGACATGTTGGACCAACTGTTAGGATCTATAGTGCTTTTCAAAATAGAATCTTCACAGCGGGTATCATCAAATTCGAATTCAAAGAGGGAGATGAATGGAAAGACTGCTTCAGACAAGGAAAGATATATGAATGCGTTGTTACCGATCACATTCATGTGACTTATTGAAACTCAGTTTTGCTGCCCTTTTCTTGGCTCAATTGTGGTTGGCTTATTTTGATAACATTCTTAATTTTCAGTTACAGTTAGAAGAAACACCTTCAGCACCTTCGATTAGGGTTTGGATGCTTTCATAAGAAAAATGAGTTGTACATTTAATCTTTAAAAGTTGCCAATTTTTGACAAGCAGATTCTGTTTCTTGGCTATATTTTAGCTCGGAAGGAATTCATCGTTGATGACAGAAGGATTGATGCTCCATTCGAAAATTGGCTTATTTTCCCAAGAAAACATCACTGACAGTTCACAGCTTTTCATGGTCTCGCTACTTTTTCTATAGGCAGTTCATAGGAATTTAGCAGCATCGTCGCTTCCCATCACTGATGTTTGAAGTAAGCGAGAGAGTTCGTCAATTTTGTATGGACTGAAGCTGCAAATAAGAGCTTCGAAGAATCCAGATAAGCTCACTTCCGCTCCTACTCTTATTTTACCTAATTTGATAAATTGTTTTGAGTTGATTGTGATGCTTATTTGAGATGGATTGTTGGTGTGCTGTTCACATATTCTGGAAAGCCATTATAGCATTTTTTAGTTGAAATTTGGAATGAAAACTAGACATAAATGGTCTACTTATGAGCAAGAATTGTTATGCAGTTTTCAATCCTAAAAACTGGGAAAACAATTATCTGTTGGGGCGTGAGTTCATTATTTTACACTGATCATCAAACCTTTAGTCTCTTTTTAAACTCAGAAGAAAAGTGAGCAAGATGCCATGCGCGTTGGCCAAACTTATTTTTGGTGCTTTCTATTATTTCGTTAAGCACAAATCGAGTACTTGTAAACAGTGCGGATATTGAGCAGGAGAGCAGCCTTGTTGCATTACAATTTAAGGCAAGAGACTGTGGGGTTCGAACTTCTTTAAAGATCTGTATGCCTCGGGGATGAAAAATTTGCTGAACATATGGGCAAAAATGAATGCTAAAACAGCCTACCAACGATTTTTCTTGTTCATGAAGGTATTTATTTAAGGAAAACAAGGCTGTGTCATCCCTCAGGTTTTCCCTCCAGGAAAGTTTAATCCGAAGAAATCCAGGTGCGAGGATTGAGTGGACAACCTAGGGTGAGGACAAGACTATTGCGAGGGGTTAGAGCTCGATTTTTATTTGGCTACAATTGAGAAGGAAGTAGGGCGGCTAGTACAAAAATGATCAAGTTTTGCCAGACATAGAAAAGGCTATTCCCAAAATTATCGGTCTTACACCGGAACAACCCTAGGAGGACCTATCATTGAATTTGTGTTGGGTTTCACGACTCAACGCAGCAGCCTTGACTCTATTTTGTTGTTGTAGACAGGTTTCTCCAGATGGCATACTTTATTTCCCTTGCAAACAAAAACTAAATGATGCCTCGCAATGGCAAAAGTTTATTTTCCAGAAGATTGTTCGATTACATGCATTTCCAAACACCATTCACATCTGACAGAGACAGAAAGTTTCTAGCTCACCTTTGGACACTTGTGGAAGAGTTTAACACTCAACTCTGCCTACAGCAGACCGCGCACCCCCAAGTGATGGACAAACTGAAGGTGGTGAACCGGACCCTTATAAATCCTCCTTAGGTGCATTATGCAGCGAGAAGAACCGATTGTGGGACCTTACTCTTGCCCAGCAAAATTTGCTTACACAGTTCGATCTTAGCGCATGAAGATTGTCCCCTTTTGAATTGTCTACCGTAAGGGTACCTAGCCCATACTCTTGATCTCTTTTCCCTTTCCAACAGGTGAGCAGCAAGAGTATTTGCCCAGCTAATAACTGGCTATTTGGGAGCATGTTTGGAGGTAATCCAAGCAAGTGCCAGCCAATTCATCACTGCTACTAATGAAAAATTATAAAGCTACAGCGCCTTGTAAACACCCAGCGCTGTAAATTTCTTTACCGTGGGTGATTGAGTTCATGGTTTTATGTCGCAAGGAGTGTGGCAGAGGACAGAAGAAGCTTGATTCCAAAAAGGATTGGTTCCTTAGGTACTTAAGAAGCATCCAATTGATAATGCCTTTTTGCTTGACCTGCCGAAGACATGAAGATCTCCAGTACCTTCAATGTTGCTGATTTTTCCCTTTCTATCCCAATTGATGATCACTTAGGTTGAGTTCTTTTTGAAGTGGAAGTTCTTTTGAAGTGGAGGGGATTGATGCGGAGCAACTTGCACTTCAATATATGGAAGATTTGGATCGCTGCAAACCCAAGAAGAAGGGGCACGACCATGCTATATCCAGCACGCCCGTGCAACCTCTAGAAGTCCAGTACCCGAGACACGCCCAAGCTTAAGAAGCGCAGACACGCCTGTGTCACTTTCCAACCCGCTCGTGCTAGCCTCTAGGAGTCCAGAGCACACCCGTGCCATGTACAGCACGCCCGTGCAGATAGGTTCAACTACGATTCGCACATAGACACGCCCGTGTCACTTCTAGCACGCCCCGTGCCAGCCTCTGGAACTCTAGGACATGCCCGTGTAATGTCCAGCATGCCCGTGCCGCCACCCTTACTAGGTTTTGTCTAGTTACGACTTTTGTATTATTTTTAGGGTTTTATGCTTTAGCCTAACCTATAAATAGGTTATTTTAGCCTAACCTATAAATAGGTTATTTTGTTTCATTGGCATATTCATTATCTTTTGATCATTATTCATATTCAATGAACTTCCTTGAGAGTTTAATTCTCTAATTCTTTTGTCAGATCACACGTCATTGATCAAAACTCCTGACGGAGTATAATCGTTATTTCCATTCACGTAACCATTCTGCATCAGTAATAAATAATATGTGGATGGATGGAAAGATTATTAAACAAATAAATAATATGTGGATGGATGGAAAGATTATTAAACAGAGTATTGTCTAAAGTAGGACAACTTTGCCTTTAATGATTTTTGTCCGTTACTTTTTTTTTTATTATGATGAACAAAGTAATGAAGTATGAATAATTTGGTTTGGTTAAAGCAGGCAACACCTACATTCCACTAGCCACCACTTGCCAGCAAACAAATGAAGAATTGCACTGTCTGCAGGTTCAGTGAGCCGTTGGTTTTGCTTCATTAGACTGTAATCGACTCAGACCCATTAGTACGGGGCTATAGTCAGCTCCAATGGCTGTTTCAGTGCCGGTGCAACCATGCAATTTTAGTTTTTTTTATTGATTTGTTGGAATTGGCCGACTCCATCTGGTTCCACATAGATTGCAGCTTCTTGGTTTTGGTTCTATTTGAAACACGAATTCTCCAAGTCAATTGGGTTGGTGTACGAAACCACCCATATAGTGTAGGCAAGTCTTATCCATAAAATAAATACCACTTATTCGCTATATTATCATTACTCTAATTAATTTTTAAATTAGGTAGTACCATTAACATTATCAAACTTAAACCTATTTTGCAATCCCAAAGTAATAAACCTATCATTTTGATTGTTGATGACGACCACTTCTAGATAATTGGGATCATTTCAACATTAGGTATATGAGGGATCCAATATTTCTTCATGCATCTTCAATTTCAATTTTGGAAATGAATTTCGTATCAACAATGGACTAGAAAAGTTTCCTATCAATAATTAGAATCTTCTCCTAATTTCGTCAAACACCAAACCAATAAAGAACTTTAGCGTGATGAAATGTCAAGTTATTGGTAAAATGTTTCTGTCAATATTTTCAAAGTGATGCAATTTATGATGTTGAAGTTTATTCGGCGGTTATTGATGATGTTTCAAGAGAAAATAATATTCAAGTTATAGATCAATTTTTATATTTGGATGAATTTTTCTTTCCCGTTTTGATAAATAATATATATAATTTTTCTGTTCCGTTTTGATAAATATAATATATATTATATATATATATATATATATATATATTATATATTAATTAGTCTTTGGAAATTTAAATTATATGTAAAAACTATTTTATTCTCCGTTTTTTAAAACTAATTTTTTATCGGATTTGCTAATAAGTAGGGGACTAAATAAGTATTAATAATAAATGATGAAATAGGGACGATTAGTGGCGTGTATACTTTTCAGGGAAATAGTCCATTCATTACATAAATTTGCACAAATAATCATTTAATTTTAAAAAAAAATCAAAATTGAGTAAAAAATAAAAATAATTTCATGAAACATTTTTCTTTTCAACCAAAATTCAAGTATTACCAATTGAGGTTTGCTTAAAGGACTAAAATCTTTAATTAGAAAGCAGTAAATTAAAGCAGTAATTTACACCATTTTTTTTTTTTGGCTACATGTCATCAATTTGCAAGAAAGTAACTTTTTCACTTGGTATTTCTTCATTTGCTTTTCCCCCTATCACGGCGTAAAACCCGATTGATATTACCAGAGCTCCAACAACTCTGAAATAAAAAAAAGAAATCGATTAATGAAAGTGTAAATTAATGAATTATGAAAATTTTACCTTGTCAAATGTATAATTCTAAATATTTCGACTTACGTGCCAAGATGAAGAGGATCCCAAAGAAATATCACACCTGCAAAAGCTGAAATAGCAATTGATAATGGCTTGAAGATTGTTATGTACACAGGCCCCTTCCGACGTAACCCCCATGCATGAATAATGGCGCTATAGCATGGCCCAAAAATTCCCTAAACAAATACCATTTCACACTTATTTAGACTTAAACAACCCCTTCAACACTTATTTAGACTTAAACAACCCCTTCATAACCTTCGGTTCACGCATTTTATGGGTTGGATTAGGTCAAAAACAGGGGCAGAGAGAGGGACTGAGGAGCCTGGCCCCCCTAAACTCAAAAAAATAAAAAAAATAAAAATTCACCCATAAAAAGTGCAATTTTTTTTTATTCTTTCATTTGAACCCTTTAATTTTAAAAATTTTCTTTTGGCCTCCTCTAATTTTGAATTCTCTGCCCCCAATAAAAAAAAATTATTGATTCACATATATAGAGGTACTTTAAATCAATAAATTCCATCCAACCCGACCTAATCCACGTGAAGACCTATTAATAGATGATAGTATCAACTTTTTAATATTATTTTATTGTGAATTATGGCCGAAAGGCCAAAAGGCTTTAATTGGCCCTTGATTTTCTTATATTAGTCGATTACTTATTTAGGGACTGTTTAGTTAGTAGTTGTTGATAGCTGGTGACTGATGTTAATTAAGTGATTACGAAATGCATTGCATTTTATTATATTACATTATACTCTATTAAGATTGATCAACCATTATATTTAAATCCTTTTCAACCGCGACATTCCTTTAAACACTTTCTAAAAAAAAATAAATAAATAAATTTACTGAGTAGAAAACAGCAACTACTGCTATATCATATTTGAGCAGCCAAGCATCTAAAATCTGTTCTGCCAAAAAACATACTGGTGCAGATATGATTGTCGCACACAAGGCGTATAGATATGTCACAACCAGCTCTGTTGGGCATATCTTCAGAATATCAGCCTACACCATGCACATTAGATTAAGTTTAGTTTTTATCCATAACTTTTTTTTTCTAAAAAAAAAAAAATTTATAAATACTTGATTAAAAAACTATACTTTTCAATTTTTATTTTAGAAATGACATAATTTAGGGACAGAAACAATTCTTATATTTTTATGATAAAAATAACTGAATCAAATTCCATTATTTAAAAACACACATATCTACAAAGAGAGGTTATGCCATATTATGTTGGGTATATATTTTAAATTAGTATGTATTCTAGAGTTATGCCATATTATGTTGGGTATATATTTTAAATTAGTATGTATTCTAGAAGATGTAGTTCGAGTCTTCATTACTATAAACATTATCACTAATTTGGTGAATGTTATTAAGGGAGCGTTCCCCTGTTGTGTAGCTCACAACATTATTCTAATTCATTGGGCTTTCATATATAAAAAGTTATTATGTCCTCAACAGTGAGATTGCAGATCATAAATCACAAATCTAGGATTTGCCCTTTAAATATTTTAAAGTTATCTTCCTTAATTTAAAATCTCGATAACTTAAATGCTTGTATATCTCAAGGATGCACCAAAGTGCATAAAGAAGGGATGCACCAAAGTGCATAAAGAAGATACCCTATAGCAAGCAAGAGGCCACCAATAAGCCAGTCAGATTGTGCAGAAGCAAGAGGCCAATGAAATGAAATGGAGTTTGTTGGAGATGAAGTGGAGAAAATTGTTGAGCTTTCGTAGAAAACTACCACTGATGCTACTGATATTGAAACTATAGTTCCAATAAGTTTAGCTTGAGTTCTTGACCTTCTCATATTTACATTCTCCATTCTTTACAAGTCGCACCCAAGGAAAGGTTAGTTCTTAACAATCTAATTTCAAACTTATTGATTAAAAAATGAAGGGGACCGGTGTAAGAACAAGAGTTGCAATTGCATAATAGTAAGCTATGAAAACAAAATAACTCATCCCTGTCAAAGAGGCTGCTTTGAATAAATGTAAGAACAAGAGTTGCAATTGCATAATAGTAAGCTATGAAAACAAAATAACTCATCCCTGTCAAAGAGGCTGCTTTGAATAAAGTGTTTAAACCTACATTTGTGCATTCTACAGACACCATAGCCATCAAAGGAAGTAAATCTTCGTATAAAAATCTTGAACCCATTTCCCTCTTTTTATCTGTAGTGTTGTTTCTCCACTGAGGTCTATTTAAGAATAGATAAGCAAGAGAGTAGCTTGCTTAATGTCGTATAAACACACAATTTGATCCTTGAACTTTTATTGAATATTCAATTTAGTTCAAAATTATTTTTGATACCAATTTAGGATACGATCAATTTACCACGTTTTTGCAAAATAACTTGTTATGTGACTTATATCTTATTGTTTCTCGCCATATTCGTTAGGTTTTGCTTCCAAAAATAAAAAAATAATATCAGCCACGTTGTTTTTCGATTTTCGATTTAATTAGAAATTGAATTTGCAAAATTAGAATTCAATTAAAGTTGAGCCGATTTTAATCTTATTTCGATTTAAATTGAAGTTATATTCATATTTGATTATACATTCGAAACGTAAAATTTAAGGATGCTCATTTTATTCATTGAGTCTCCATTTAAACTCATACTGAATAGAGTGAGTATAAATTTTACGAATAAATCTTACCCTTCCTGTGAATTATTTTTTAAAAATATTTTTGAATAAAATCCAATTCGAATATAATCTACCCTATGTCTCCATCTAACCCATCCCACCCATGACATGGGATGGTGATGAAACATGTATATATTTAATATTACAGGGGAAATGTAAATATTAAAAACCCAATGCGTGATCATCCTTAATAGAGTTAGATGAATTGTTATTCCCAATAAGTAAATCCTTAATCTCATAATGTAATTCACATTACATCTATAATTTCATTACTTAAATTGATATTTGATGTAATATTCATTACATAAAAAAATATATGTAAAGCCCGTTACATTCCTTAAAATCTATACTCATCCTCAACCACCATTCCACCACCACTGCAACCATTACTTCATCACCACCACCGCAACCACCATCCACCACCTCAACCATCACTCTACCACTACCACTGCAACCATCACCACCAACATCACCACCACCATTACATCATTATTAATTATTCTTTTATATTGTTATAGGAATAGGAAGAACGAAACGAATAATCACTAAAAAGATCAAAATATCATAATTTTATATTGTAATTTAATTTATTCAATGAAAATATATAAGATTGTATAAAAAAATTAATTTTCAATGACTTTAACTTTTATTTTATCACATTACATTTTTTTTCTGACTTATTCTTTTTTCTGACTTATTCTTTTATTTTATCACATCACATTACAGATTAATTTAACAGTTTAATCACTTGACTAGAAGAATTGCTGAAACAGTAATGAAAATAATAATTACATTAGTTCAATAGAATTGATAAAAGTATAAAAATTGAAAAATAAAATTGATTCTCATATTTTTTTTATAAATTATCAGTTTAGTTCAAATTAATAATCAGTGTCCCTATCAGTTAGAAAACTCTAATAATGGCACAACTGGCCATATTTAACTTGCATGATAAAAACCCTATTAGGAGGAAAAAAAGCATACCCCACAAAAATAAAATCTATTAGGAGGAAAAAAAGCATACCCCACAAAAATAAAATCTTGTTGCCCTTTTTAGAAAAAAACATAAAATGGCCAAAAATAAAAAAGACATCTAAATAATGGTGGGACACAAAATTTAAAAGATGCTTTCTATTAAAATGAAAAAAAGATATAAAAAGATATAAAACTAATAGCATTTTATTTATTTTTAATTTATTTTTGACATTACTAAATAGCAATTTATATGTTAGGATGTATTGTCTTTTTTAATTTGGTTTTTTAATTTGGTAATTTAGCTCTATTGAATTATTTAATCCTTTGTTTAGAAAGTGTTATTTTTATCATTCAAGAAAGGACTAAATAGTAATTTAATAGTAGTGCCATGGACAAAGTACTAATGCCAAATTAATTGTGATTAAAAGAAGGACCAACTAATCAAATATTACAAGATATTAACGTCTAGAATGACACTTCTTATATCAAACTAATTAGTTTAATGGGATTAGATGTTAAACTAATTAACGCATTTATCAAAATGACTTGGCAATTTTCATACTCAAGGCTCAAACTTAAAACCTTTGATTAAGAGAGAACGAGTCTCAACCACTCTATTTGATTAATATCGGTAATTTAGCTACTTTATATAAATTAATTATAAACAAATAACTGTAACTATAATAATAATAATAATAATATAATCTTTTACGGAAATAGTTAAAACATCTAATCACTCAAAGTTTTTAAAAAGGAGCATGAAAATGGAAGAAAGAGAAAAGCTTATCCATACATCTCCTTTAACTAAACCACCATCAGTGGCTTTGAAACAAATCCCTCAAGATTATTAAAATTATTTAATAAATTTTCTCAAGAAAAGAGTTCAAATTTTCATTATAGAAAACTCTAAAATTACAGACATAAAAGCAGAAGTTTTTTTTTTTTTTTTTTTTTTTTTTTTTTTTTTTCCCTTTTTTCCATTATGTTCTCTCTCGAACTCACATCTCCAAGTACACTTTCACATGATTCTCCTAATTCCTGCCTGTTACAGAACAGAAATTGCCTTTCACGTAAATTTAGGCACACTAATTATCTTCTCTAAAAGAAGCATTCCTTTGTAAAAGAGGGGCTTCGTGACTGCTAAAAGTTTCATTGTTCTTCTCCTTCATTTGTCCCCACATCACACTGTAAAATCCAAGTGCAATTATAATAGAACCAATGACACTGCAATAGAAACATCACAAAACTCCATCATTTCAATGCCCTTATTTATTATTTAAAAAAAAAAAGGGTTTAGATTGGAGAAAGGGTTTAGATTGGAGAACCAATAAAGAAATACCTGCCAAGACAAAGGGTTTCACCAAGAAAAGTGACTGTCATGAACACAGAAATAGCAATACCCAAAGGTTTGAACATGGCTACATATAAAGGTCCTTTCTTGCCCAAGCACCACGTGTGAAACCCAATTCGAAACATACTCCCAAATACCGCCTAAATCACACCAAATCAAAGGTTAATTATCTATTAATTCAATTAGGAGAAAATAAAAATATCCGGGGACTATTATTTGAATTTACATTTGTAAAATAAAATAAAAAAGGATAAATAATTTTGACTCAGTTAGAAATAGTTAAATTTAATTAATATTATTATAATATAAAATAATAGAAATTAAAAAAAAAGTAAGAATATGTAATTAATGTTATACTCAATCAAAATAATTTAGTCCCATATGCTGAACATTAAAATTTCAGACACGTGGGGCCAACCAAGGCCATGTAATAAAAAAGAGCGGGAACAGCGGCTCTCATTGTCTCACCTAATTTTATTAAATATTTTTTAATAAATATTTTTTTTTCTTTTTGTGGTTTTTTAAATATATTAATATTTTCAGTGGAAGGAACAGAACATCAACTAACGTCAATCAAGCATATAAATATTATATATCATATGGAATTCCAGTTTTTCTATATAAGTAGCATTGCATATTCGACAAATCCTATGGAAAATGACTCCAATCATATGATAATAATTAATAACTAAATAAATAAATGTAATATTTCCTCATTGCATGTCATCTTTGACAAATCCTATGGAAAATGACTGCAATCATATAATAATAATTCCATCAATTTAATATAAAAATTTAATATAAAAATGACTGAAAAACATTTAATATAAAAATTTTACCGTTCAAATTCCATCAATTTAAATAATCTCTTAATTCTCTTGTCTAAAAAGTGCAATTTCCTTTATCAATTAGGGAATGGAATACCAATTCAATAGTAAACTTAAAAACAAAAATTAACGGATTAAATCCAAATATTATAGGATATTTAATATAAAAAAGGCACTTTAAAATAATTTAACAAGGCTAAACCTGAAGGACAATCTAATGATTTTACCAAATAATGGATATGCGAGTGTTATTTTTACCTAAATAGATAATTACCCATTATAGAATAATAAATAAATAAATAAAATCTGGATAGATTTTCTTACTGTGAAAACGATGGCAATAATTTCAATGGCAGATTTCAATCTCCATGCATTTGGATTCCTTTCCAAAATAAGTGAGAAAAATGCACTTTGGATTGTGATAAACAAGGTGAAAAAGAACAGTATGGTCATTTCTTCTGGGTACTGCTTCACTGTTGCTCCCTGCAAATATGAATTCACAAAATATTTGGAATAAACAAAATTATTTGGAATAAATGAATGAAAATCATTCAATTGATTTATTTTAGGAATAAATGAATGAAAACATTCAATTGATTTAAATTTAAATTGATTTAAACATATATAGAATTAAATTAAATTTTTAGGGAAAGGTAATTAAAAAAACAAAAATCACCTGGGCAATGGTCCAGGTTGCAGACAGAAGGCAAAAATTACAAGGAGAAAACCTCCAAAGATCCACTCTGGTTTCTGTGAGTGAAGAGGTTGAAGTTGAAGATGGTGAGAGTGAGAAGTTAGTGACTGGATCATAAAAATTGCAGGGCCTTTATATAGGGTCACTATAGATGCTCCTCTTCCTGAAAATTAAAGAAGAGTTTCAGAAGTCAAAGGTTTCCCTCTTTCGCACAGAAGCAAGAAATTAATTAATAGTGAAGGAAAGGAAGACAGCCTGTAGAAGTTGAAATAAGGGAGAAGAATGAGAGTGCCAAGAGCATTGGAGTAAACAACAGAAACATAATTGCTCATTCCTTGTGATAAAGCTGCTTTGCTTATGGTTGCTAACTTGCTATACCTACATCTGTGCACTCCACTGTGACCATTCCTGCAAAACATGTCAAATCCCATATCCAAGAACTCAACTCCATTTTTTGAGTTCGCCCTTTATTGTGGCTGTCGTTGTACTGCAGACAGCTTCTTTAGACTTCTCTGCTCCCTTGAAACAGGAAACTAAAATAGCTCAATGATTTTGTTTTTGTTTGTTCGTTTTTTAGGCTTATTTTATAAAATGGATTATGTACGCAATGATGGAAAAATTAACGAATAGATGGAATACGTAAATTTATGTACATATAAATTTACCTATGAATTTTTACAAAAAATTTTTTATGGCTCTCATAAATTTTTAAAATGACCTTATGGCTCTCTAAATTTTATTTTATTTTATAATATTTATATATCTTACCTGTTTGAAAATGCAAATTAAAATGTACGCACATTGTAAAAGGAGTGATGTGTAAAAAAGTGTTCACATGTACCTTTGCATTTATGTACACGTACCTTTGCATTTTAATTATAAAAAATGGCACAAGACACGTACATAAATTTACCTCTAAACTTTTTCATTTTAATTTTATGGCACCTTCAATTTTTTTTTATCAAACACTTCGACTTATAAAATTACGTCTATTACACACTTAATTTTCAAATTTATTTTATTGAACACTTCAACTTGCAAGATTAGATTAATTAAACACTAATTAATAGTTGAAATTTGTGAAAATTATTAGTGTCGAAAGGTATGTAAAATTACCAACATTTACAAGTTAAAATAAAATTATTGATATTAGTGACGAAATGTATGTAATATTATTAAAATTTACAAGTACAAATACATAATAACTCATCTATAATATTCAAGGTGCCATAAAATTAAAATTGCAAAGTTCAGTCGTGAATTTATATATCCAGCTTATAAAAAACTATTATAGAACCTACCAAACATTAAATAAAATCCTTGATCACCAAAAATTCATGTTAACGTTGTACTTTACCACCGCTATTAATTACCACAGACAAATACTCAATTAAAAAATTTTCTTAATCAATTACTAATTTATTTATAGCTATAATCAAATATCCAAAATAGAAAGTTTGAGTCCATTAGAGCACTTGAAAGCTAATGCACTTCGTTAATATTTAAAATAATAATAATAATAAAAAAATCTCTCTTGATAAAAATCATTAGACAGAAAATAGAAAAAAAAAAAACACAGTTAAAGAAAAATCAAGTTATTTTATGGAAAATTCATTTGAGTTTAGAGCACAAAACCCCCAAATCAAGAGCCAAAGGAAGTCTCTTTACCTCACACGGCCATGACTTTTGAAAACAAAGAACATGAAGAAGAACAACTACTACAAGTAAAAAAAAAAACAAAGTTAAAAATAATATTTAAATTTAGAAATTACTTTTACCGTTAAAATTAAACTATAAACAAACATACCTTCAAAGAACACACATATAGGTTTCTACAATCTAGCAGGCTGAGATTTATTGTTAGCAAAAGAAGACTGCTCAGGAAATAAAGAACTCAGAAATTAAAGATCACATAAATTTTTGTTTTCTCTATACTCTGTTTTCAAATGAAGCTCCTTTTCTTTAAAAAACAAATTCTATCTATTTTTGTATCATAGGGTAGGTGAGATAGGTAGGTAATGGTAGAGATGAGATAGACGGATTGATTTTGCAGCATGAGATGGACAGATTTGGCATCGCAAAACTAATTGACATGAGATGGACAGAGTTTTCATTTGATAATATGAAAGATTATTATTTAATATGAAAGATTATTATTCATATAAAAAAATATCCAATGATTCATTACATAAATTTGACAATAAATATTTTTTGAAATGTTTAAACTGAGCACCGAATAAGAGTAATTTTTTCTTTTTCATTCAAGTATGAAATTTGATAAACACGTCAAGGCATAACCTAATAGTAAATACATATATGACCTGACAATAGATTGAGTTTGAATATTCTCTCTAATATTAAAAAAAAAATATATGGATTTGATAAGGACAAAAACCTCAAAAATTTACAAATGAGGTGTGGTTAAGGACTAATAAAAGAAAAAATCAAAGATAAAAAATCTTTAATTACATTTTTTGGCTACATGTCATTAACATGTCATTAATGGGTGTTTGCAAGAAAGGAAACTCTTTGGAGTAGATCTCAGTCCAGCTAAAATCTTGTCCTCACTTTGATCTTTCCTTCATTTGCTTTTTCCCCATATCAGCAGTAAATCAGAACCCCATTGAAATATATTAGAGCTCCTAATAAAAAAAAAAATACTAATACTGCAATTACCAAAAAAAAAAAAAAGCTAAAAAAAGACAAATTAATAAAAAAATAAATAATGCTTAATTTGCTGATTTGACTTAACCAGCATGTATAATTTACCAAATATTGATATTTTCTATTGACTTAAAGAAAAACTTTCAATTAGAAAATCAATGGGTCAGATCTTGGAATGAAAAATTGATGAATATTTAAGCTCAGAAAAAACTAAGTCATTGATTTTTTATTATTTATTTTTAACCCAAGTTAATGGTATAAAATGCAAATTAATGAATTTTGAAGAATTTTCTTTTGTGAAATTGATAATTCCAAGGAATATATAAATGGAATACGAAAAATAATTTAAAAACAAAAAAAGATGAGCATACATACATCCCAAGATGGAGAGCATCCCCAAGAAATAAGACACCCATAAAAGCTGCAATAGCAATTGACAATGGTCTGAATATTGTTACATACAAAGGCCCCTTCAAACGCAGCCCCCATGAATGAATAACGGTGCTATAGCTTTGTGCAAAAATTCCCTAAACAGATACCAAATCACATATTTAGAAAACCTATTTAATATCACAAAAAGCCATTATCTTTTTTACCTCTTGCAATTTTATCTTAAAACTTTTTAATGCAATTTTATCTTAAAACTTTTTAATTTTATCAATTTTACCATAGGCTATAATTGGAAGAAAATATTATTATCTTATTATTAATACTGATAGACTATAATAAATATACCATAAGCTTATTCGTTAATATAACAAGCCCTTAACTGAGCCTAAAATCATTAGCATACATGAATATAAGACCGAGCGTTATAAATTGAAATTCAAAGGATTCAGTTCAATAACGCTCGGTCAATTATGTATTGAATACCTAAGTCAACCGTTTGATAATAAAATTTGTGTCTCTTGTTCAGATAACTAGATAATAGCTATATGCATTCTGTACAAAAGTCTCACAATTCTCTGTATACGAACACTTAAGTTTATCTATCTCATATCAAAATAATAGTTCTTACTATTTTTCTCCCCGTTATCTTTTGTTTATTTTGTAATTGTCAAATATTAAGGCTAAAAGCCTTTAAATGGTCCTTGATCTTGCATTAGTTAATTGCTAATTTAGTATTCAAATTCAGTTAATTGAGTCATTAATAAATGACTCTCTATAATTTCAAAGTTGAAGAGTTTAATAGATTATATATAGTTAAAATTTAAGGATTTAAAAGAAAAAAAAAAAAAAAAAAAAAAAAAAAAAAAACACTACCGAGTATAAAATAGCAAGTAAATCCATATTTGAGGTTTTACATATGAGGTTTTAGTAGCCAAGCATCCAAATTGCTTTCCGCAACAAAGCATACTGGGGCGGATATGATGGTCACACACGAAGTGTACACAAATGTCACAATAAGCACTTTTGGGTATGTCTTCAAAACCTCAGCCTACATCAAATTAAGTCATGATGATTAAGTTCTTCCACAGAAAATTGAGCCCTCTGTTTAATTTTTTTTAAAAATTATACTATTTCTGTGTTTTTTAAATGTGAAACGAAAGAAATTTCATATTAAAGTTCATGTGCAACTCTGGTGAGCTAATTCAGCATTTGATGCTTAACAGTTGCAACGTTTTTAGTAATAATTTAAGTACTTAGGCTCCATTTATTTATGTAAAATAACTTGCAGGAAAATATTTTTCATAATTTTCCGTTTTTTGAGATATTTAGGAAAATAAGTGAACGTAAAATATTTTTCTGGTCAAAGGAAAATTAAGCATTTTTTAAGGAAAACAATTTTTCATTTTCAAAAGAGTAAAACATTTTACGAATATTGACAAACCTTATAAATTCATATTTTTTAAATTTATTAATCATGATAATCGCTGCCACCAGTCACCATTTACTACCAACCAACCACCACCGGCCACCACTGCCGACGGCCGGCAGCCACCACCACAGGCCACCACTGACTTTTATAATTTACATTTTTTTTTTTGCATTCTTTTCATATTTAACAATAAAATTTTAAAATTTCTATTATTATTATGAGATAAAAATTTTAATATTTTTAACTAATTATTATGAATAAAATTTTAACTAGATAAAAATTTTAATATTTTTAACTAATTTTCAATATTACAACCAAACAACGAAAAATAAGTCATTTGAAAAATATTATTCAAGGAAAATGTTTTTCAGCAAGTTGTTTTCCGGTAAATTATTGTATGGAAGCAAACGGAGCGTTAATTGAAATTTTTTTTTCATTTAAACACCAAAATAGGAAAGATTAAAAAGTTTAGACATAACTTGTATAATTTACCATATATTTTAATATCGGTATAAATTTTGAATGAGCATGTTTAGTGGTGAGGTTACGTTGTGGAGAAGGTGGGCTTGGAACCCAGAACTTAAACCAATCTCTCATTCTTTAAATAGTTTAGCTCTCTTGTTTTGAGTATTTTATAGTTCGTCTCTCTTAATTTAAAATCTTGATTTCACCTTTGCGTACCTGAATAATGTACCAAAGTGAACAAAGAAGATATTCTGTAGCAAGCAAGAGGCCACCAATAATCCACAATAATCCAATCAGGACATCGTAGAGGCAAGGAGGCCAACCAATGAAATGTTTGTTTTTTCGGAGATAAGCTGGATAAAAATGTTTGGGCCCTTTGTAGAAAAAGAACCACCAACGCTCCTGCTATTGACCTTTGTAGAAAAGAACCACCAACGCTCCTGCTATTGAAACTATAGTTCCAGCAATTTTAGCTTGACTGCTTGACCTTCTCATAGCTACCTTCTCCATCCTTTACACCCAAGGAGAGGTTAGTTACTAAATTAGCAATACATTTGTTAGGATTACTTTAATTCCTAAAATTATAAATTAATCATGAAGACAAATCACAATGGGATCTTTTATGATTAGCCTCCATAAAAAATGGATTAGACTTGAGTTTGAGGAGTGAGACACACATACACACACACCTGAACAAAAATGCAAAGGCAAAGGTAAAAGCTGGAGTTAGGTTGCTCATGGCTGAGGAAAGAGTTGGAGAACTGTATTCTACGCCTTTAGTTCCAACAATCATACTTAAAAACCTGCATAATTCTCCAGAAAACAAAAATTAATAGAAAAAAAAAAAGAAAAGGAAAATTCAATGATAGCAAGAAAAATGAAAAAGGCAGATTGATTTATGAGATGTACTAATTACCCAATAAGCGCAAGAACAAAAATTCTGCAGAGAAGAGGCAACTTGATTTCTGCTGCTGCACTGTATTCGCCATGAATAGATAACGAGAAATAAAACTACTGTTTTACTATTAGATTAGATCTATGAATAAGTTAAAAGGAAAAGATTGATTAGGAGAAACAGAAATAACTAAAGACCTGTAAAAAATGAACGGGACAGGTAGAAGAACAAGAGTTGAAATCGCATAAGAATAAACTATGAATACATAACAACTCATCCCTTTCGAAGAAGCTGCTTTGAACAAAGTGCTTGCTCCAACAATTGTGCATTCGACAGACACCATAGCTATAAAAGGAAGCAAATCTCCGTATAAAAACCTTGGACCCATTTCCTTTTCTTTTCTTTATTTATTATTATTATTTTTTATATCTGCAGCTTGTTTCTGCACTGGGTCAGTTTAATGGTGGAAGAAATAAGAAGAATATAGGAAATGGAATAAATTAGCGACAAAGTGTTGTTTAATTTATCAGTTCAACTTATCAGTTCCAAAAGCAAAGATGTGAATAACAGAAATGAATTCAAATTCAAACCCATGAATTATTTGGTTTTTTATTGTTTTTTTATTAACCCATGAATTATTTGGGTTTTATTTTTTATTTTTGTAATCAGCAATAAATAATATGTGGATGGATGGAAAGATTATTAAACAGAGTATTGTCTACAGTAGGACAACTTTGCGTTTAATGATTTTTGTCCGTTACTTTTTTTTGTTTTGATTATGATGAACAAAGTAATGAAGTATGAATAATTTGGTTTGGTTAAAGCAGGCAACACCTACACTCCACTAGCCACCACTTGCCAGCAAACAAATGAAGCATGGCACTGTCCGCAGGTTCAGTGAACCGTTGGTTTTGCTTCACTAGACCGTAATCGACTCAGACCCATTACTTCTGGGCTGGAGTCAGCACCAGTGGCTGTTTCAGTGCCGGTGCAACCGTGCAATTTTAGGTTTTTTACTGATTTGTTGGAATTGGTGGACTCCATCTGGTTCTAACTATATCCAGCCAGCTCTGGTTCCACAGAGATTGCAGCTTCTGGGTTTTGGTTTTATTTGAAACACGATTTCTCCAAGTCAATTGGTTTAGTTTACTAAACCACCCAAACGGTGTACGCAAGTCTTATCCATAAAATAACAATAACATAGGTAGTAACAATAACATTATCAAAATTAAACCTATTTTGCAATCCCAAAGTAATAAACCTATAATTTTGATTGTTGATGATGACCACTTCTAGATAATTGGGATCATTTCAACATTAGGTATATGAGGGATCCAATATTTCTTCATGCATCTTCAATTTCAATTTAGGCAACGAATTTCGTATCAATAGTTAGAAAAGTTTCCTATCAATAATTAGAATCTTCTCATAATTTTTGTCAAACACCAAACACCTAACTCAATCCAACCCACGTGTAGACCTACTAATAGATGATAGTATCAACTTTTTAATATTATTTTATTATGAATTATGGCCGAAAGGCTTTAATTGTCCCTTGATCTTCTTATATTAGATAATTGCTCGTTTAGGGACTGTTTGGTTAGTAGTTGTTGATAGCTGGTGACTGATATTAATTAAGTGATTATGAAATGCATTTAATTATCTTACATTATACTCTATTAAGATTGATCAATCATTATATTTAAATCTTTTTCAACCGCGACATTCCTTTTAACAATTTCTAAAAAAAATAAATAAAAAAAATTACTGAGTAGAAAACAGCAACTAATGCTATATCATATTTGAACAGCCAAGCATCTAAAATCTGTTCTGCCAAAAAACATGCCGGTGCAGATATGATTGTTGCACACAAGGCGTATGGAAATGTCACAACCAGCTCTGTTGGCCATATCTTCAGAATATCAGCCTACACCATGCACATTAGATTAAGTTTAGTTTTTATCCATAATTTTTTTTTCTAAAGAAAGGCTAAATTTATAAATTAAAAAACTATACTTCTCAATTTTTATTTTAGAAATGACATAATTTAAGGACAGAAACAATTCTTTAATTTCTATAATAAAAATAACTGCATCAAATTCCGTTATTTAAAAATACATATCTACAAAGAGAGGTTATGCCATAAGGTTCTATTATATACAATTCTTTAATTCTATAATAAAATTATATTTCTTATTATCTCTTTTTTATTTTAAAAATACATATCTACAAAGAGAGGTTACTGCCATATTATGTTGGGTATATATATATAATATGTCTAAATATAGTTCGAGTCTTTCACCACTACAAACGCTTATCACTGAATTGGGTAAAATTTTTTATTTTTATAAGGGTAGCTTCTCCTGTTGGTGTTATTCTCTGAACATTATTCTAATTCATGTCTCATTATAAAAAAATTATTATATTGGGTCTCTTTTAGGTTGTGGTTGTGAGATCGCTCAGATCATAACTCACCAAAATTTGGGATTTGCTCTTTAGAATATATATCTTCTCTTGCCCTTTAAATATTTTAAAGTTATCCTCGTTAATTTAAAATCTCGATAACTTAAATGATTGGATACCTCAAGGATGCACCAAAGTGCATAATGAAGATACTCTATAGCAAGCAAGGGGCCACCAATAAGCCAGTCAGATTGTGCAGAAGCAAGAGGCCAATGAAATCAAATGGAGTTTGTTGGAGAAGTGGAGAAAATTGTTGAGCTTTCGTAGAAAACCACCACTGATGCTCTTGATATTGAAACTATAGTTCCAATAAGTTTAGCTTGAGTGCTTGACCTTCTCATATCTACATTCTCCATTCTTTACAAGTCGCACCCAATGAAAGGTTAGTACTTAACAATCTAGTTTCAAACTTATTGAGTAAAAGTTTAGTAAATATCTTAAGGTAGGATTTTTTCAGGTAACTTATTTGCGCCAATCTGACTATATAGGGATTAAGTATTTATAAACAGGTTTAAGATTGTGAATAAAAATGAAAACTCTTTTTGAAAAATTTCTATTTTGATTGATTTGATTTCTATTTTGATTGATTTGATCGGTGATGGATTTAGAGGCCGAATCTAATCATGTTTATTCTATTCTAAAATAGAAAGGACAAAAATATAAATAAGAACAAATTTAAGAATTTTTAATTTTTCATTTATATCCAATGGTGTTTCAATTAGAACAAACTCTTTTATTTTTGATATAGTATTAAGGTAAAACCGTCCTAATAATTGTGACAATTAATCTTTTAATATTCACTTAGATCCTCTTTGTTTTTTTTTTTTTTCCTTTTTTAATTAAAACCATCCAAGGCATCTTTTTACAATTAAAACCTCCGAACAAATAATAAATAAAAATAGCCTTGAATTTGAGAACAAATAATAAATAAAAATAGCCTTGAATTTGAGACACACCTGAACAAAACTGCAAGAGCAAAGGTAAAAGCTGGCGTTAGATTGCTCATGGCTGAAGAAAGAGTTGTAGAAGTGTATTCTAGACCTTTCTTTCCAGCATGCTTCCCAAGAAACAAAGTTAATTAAAAGTTCAAACACGAATTTAATGATAGCTTATGAGAGATAATTAATAATTACCCGATAAGTGAGAACGCAAATTCTATAGAGAATAGGGAACTTGATTGATGAAGATACTGCTGCTCTGTCCAGAGAAATCAAACTACCATTTTACTATTGCTTTGGATTTATGAACGAGTTGAAAAGAAAATATGAATTAGGGAAAGAGAAATAATTGAAGACCTTTAAAAAATGAAGGGGACTGGTGTAAGAACAAGAGTTGCAATTGCATTATAGTAAGCTATGAAAACAAAATAACTCATCCCTGTCAAAGAGGCTGCTTTGAATAAAGTGTTTAAACCTACATTTGTGCATTCTACAGACACCATAGCCATCAAAGGAAGTAAATCTTCCTATAAAAATCTTGAACCCATTTCCCTCTTTCCATTTCCCTCTTTTTCTCTGTAGTGTTATTTCTCCACTGAGGTCTATTTAAGAATAGATAAGCGAGAGAGTAGCTTGCTTAATGTCGTATAAACGCACAATTTGATCCTTGAACTTTTATTGAATATTCATTTTTAGTTCAAAATTAATTTTGATACCAATTTAGGATACGATCAATTTACCACGTTTTTGCAAAATTACTTGTTATGCGACTTATATCTTATTGTTTCTGGCCATATTCCTTAGGTTTTGCTTCTAAAAATAAAAAAAATAATATCAGCCACGTTGTTTTTCGATTTTCAATTTAATTAGAAATTGAATTTTCAAAATTAGATTCGATTAAAATTGAGCCGATTTTAATCTTATTTCAATTTAAATTGAAATTATATTCATATTTGATTACACATTCGAAACGTAAAATTTAAAGATGCTCATTGTACTCATTGAGTCTCTATTTAAACTCGAACTAAATAGAGTGAGTATAAATTTTACAAATAAATCTTACCCTTCCTGTGAATTATTTTTTTAAAATATTTTTGAATAAAATCCAATTCGAATATAATCTACCCTGTGTCTCCATCTAACCCATCCCACCTTTGATGTGGGATGGTGATGAAACATGTATATGTTTAATCTTACAGGAGAAATGTAAATATTAAAAACCCACTTCGTGATCATCCTTAATGGAGTTAGATGAATTGTTATTCCCAATAAGTAAATAAATAAATAAAAATGCAAGTGGCTGAACCAGAATGAAGATTAGGTATCACAATAATTTCAAAAACTAAGGGGGAAAATTATATATATATATATAGGAGTAAAATTAAAAAGTTTCACTATTTTAAGAATCAAATTTGCAAAAAACACCATAACCACTCCCCTCTGCCTTGAATGCAATAAGTTGAAGTCTAGGTTATGTTTGGTATACTGTAATCAATCATATAATAAAATGATAATTACATTATGTGACCGATTACATTGTTTAATTAGACTTTTTAATCTCATAATGTAAGTGACATTACATCTATAATTTCATTACTTAAATTGATTTTTGATGTAATATTCATTACATAAAAAAAATATATGTAAAGCCCACTACATTCCTTAAAATCCATACTCATTCTCAACCACCACCATTCCTCCACCACCGCAACCATTACTTCATCACCACCACCGCAACCACCATCCACCACCTCAACCATCACTCTACCACCACCACCGCAACCATCACCAGCAACCATCACAGCAATCACCACCACCACCCGACTCATTAATAATTAATTCTTTTATATTGTTTAGGGAATAGGAAGAATATAATGAAATAAATTACTAAAAAGATCAAATATCATAATTTATATAATTGTAATTTAATTTATTTCAATGAAAACATAAAGATTGTGTTAAAAAATTCATTTTCATGACTTTAACTTTTTATTTTTATCACATTACATTTTTTCTGACTTATTTCTTTTTGATTAATTTTTAAGTCAAATAGCTTTTAGATCTATATAAGTCTTTAATAGCTTCATATAAATGAATACTTTTATAGTCAAATAATATATATTTTTATTAGTAATGATGTGGTGGTGATGGAGTGGGTGTTGTGGTGGTAGTGGATGGAAATGTTAATGACATTACATCTATAATTTCATTACTTAATTGATTTTTTGGGATGTATATTCATTACTAAAAAAAATAATATGTAAAGCCCACTACATTACCCTTAAAATCCATACTCATTCTCACCACGAACCATAACCAACCCATTCCTCCACCACGCAACCATTACTTCATCACCACCACCGCAACCACCATCCCACCTCAACGCATCACTCTACCACACCACCGTACCATCACACCAACATCAACCAACCACGCAACCACATCATTAATAATTATTCCTTTTATTTGTTATAGAATAGGAAGAAATATAATGAATAATTACTAAAAAGATCAAAATATCTATTTTTATATTGTAATTTATTTTATTCAATGGAAAACATAAAAGATGTGTTAAAAAATTAATTTTCATGACTTTTAACTTTTTATTTTATCACATTAATTTTTTTCTGACTTATTCTTTTTTAATTTCTAGTCAAATTAGCTTTTAGATCTTTAATAGCTTCATATAATGAATACTTTTATAGTCAAATATATATATTTTTATTAGTAATGATGTGGTGGTGATGGAGTGGTGTTGTGGTGGTAGTGATGGAGTGGTGTTGTGCTGATTGTGGTGGAGGTGGAAGTAGAGTGATGGTGGTGTGATTGATAAAGTATAAAAATTGAAAAATAAAATTAATAATGGCTTTTAGAAATAAAACTCTAATAATGGCACAACTGCTCATATTTAACTTGCATGATAAAAATCCTATTAGGAGGAAAAAAGCATACCCCACAAAAATAAAATCTTGTTGCCTTTTAGAAAAAAACATAAATGCCAAAAATAAAAAGACATCTAAATAATGGTGGACCACAAAATTAAAAGATGCTTTCAATATTATATGAAAAAAAATATAAAAAAGATATAAAAAGATATAAAACTAAAAACTATAGCAATTTATATGTTAGGATGTATTTGTCTTTTTTAATTTGGTAATTTAGCTCTATTGAATTATTTAATCCTTTGTTTAGAAAGTGTTATTTTTATCATTCAAGAAAGGACTAAATAGTAACTTAATAGTAGTGCCATGGACAAAGTACTAATGCTAAATTAATTGTGATTAAAAGAAGGACCAAATAATCAAATATTACAAGATATTAACCTCTAGAATGACACTTCTCATATCAAACTAATTAGTTTAATGGGATTTGATATTAACGCATTTATCAAAATAACTTGGTAATTTTCATACTCAAGGCTCAAACTCGAAACCTTTGATTAAAAGAGAATGAGTCTCAACTATTCTATCCGACTAATATCAGTAATTTAGCTATTTTATATGAATTAATTATACACAAATAACTGTAACTATAATAATAATAATAATAATAATAATAATATAATGTTTTAAGGAAACAGTTAAAACATTCAATCACTCGAAGTTTCTAAAAGGAGCATGAAAATGGAAGAAAGAGAAAACCTTATCCATTATCAGTAGTTTTGAAACAAATCCCTCAAGATTATTAAAATTTTAATAATTTTTCTCAAGAAAAGAGTTGAAATTTTCATTATAAAAAATTCTAATATTACAGACATAAAAGCAGAAGTTTTTTTTTTCTTTCCCCTTTTTTCCATTATGTTCTCTCTCGAACTCACATTTCCAAGTACACTTTCATATGATTCTCCTAATTCCTGCCTGTTACAGTGATTCTCTCTAATTCCTGCCTGTTTACATGAACAAGAATGTCCTTTCCAAGTAATTAGGCACAATGTTGGGCACTAAATTATCTTCTCTAAAAAGAAGCATTGCCTTTGCAAAAAATGAGGGGTTTTTGAACTGCTAAAACTTTCATTGTTCTTTCTCTTCATTTGTCCCATCATCACACTGTAAAATGATTCTCCTAATTCCTGCCTGTTACAGAACAGAAATTGCCTTTCAAGTAAAATTAGGCACACTAATTATCTTCTCTAAAAGAAGCATTCCTTTGCAAAAGAGGGGCTTTTTGACTGCTAAAACTTTCATTGTTCTTCTCCTTCATTTGTCCCCACATCACACTGTAAAATCCAAGTGCAATTATAATAGAGCCAATCACACTGCAATAGAAACGTCACAAAACTCCATCATTTCAATGCCCTTTATTGTTAGATCAAGAAACAAGTCGACAACCAGAACAATTGGATTTAAAAGTGATGTCTTATTTGAGCAACTGCTGGGCTTTATATAGCCATTACTTCAAAACAGAAAACAACTAAAGATCTACAAAATAATCTAAATATAGCAGTAGCGAAAATATTCTAAATAGCAGAAAATAACTCCTGTAGAATAGGACACTTATTGACTAATTCAAAACTACCAGACTAATTTAAACTACCAACAAATCCTCCCTTGAACTTATTCCTCTTGTACAAGAATTAGTTCAAATCTGAGTCTGTGCAAACACCAAGTTCTTGACGTAGCTTCTGGAATGCTTCTAACTTGAGTGGTTTGGTCATCAAATCTGCAAGTTGGTCTTTGGTGCCACAAAACTGTAACTCAACAACACCTTCTTTAACTAAATCTCTGAGAAAGTGGAACCTTACTCTTATGTGTTTGGAACGCCCATGTAAAACAGGATTTCTAGACAACTTGATTGTTGAAGCATTATCACACATCAAAACAGTCCCTGCTTCCTGTGAATGGCCAATTTCTTTCAATATTCTTCTCGTCCAAATGGCTTGACAAGCACAGGCAGCTGCAGCTATAAACTCAGCTTCTGTGGTTGACAAGGTAACAATGGGTTGCTTACGAGAAGACCATGCCACAGCTCCTCCACTTAGTAGAAACGCATAACCGGAAGTGCTTTTGCTATCATCCATGTCACCAGCATAGTCACTGTCTGTAAATCCGACCAGCCTGCTTTCTCCACCTCTTCTGTAAAAAATACCATAATTAACCGTCCCCTTTAAATACCTTAGCACCCTTTTGATTGCAGCAAAGTGGATCTTTGTAGGACTAGCCATGAAACGACTAATGAAGCTCACAACAAACATGAGGTCAGGTCGCGTAGCTGTGAGATACATTAGACTTCCCACCATTTGTTTAAACTGAGTTGCATCAACTACCTCGCCTCCCACATCTCTTCCAATCTTTTGGCCAGGAACAATCGGATTACATACTGGATTATGATTCTCCATACCAAAACGTTGTAGGACTTCGCTGGCATATTTCTTTTGACAAATAAAAATACCAACATCCTTTTGGACTATCTCAATGCCAAGAAAGAACTTCATTGGCCCCAAGTCTGTCATCTCAAATTCATTTTCCATGGAATGTTTAAAATCTGCAAGCAATTTATCATCATCACCAGTATATAACAAATCATCTACATAAATACTCACAACTAAGATTTTTCCTCCCTTCTTTTTGACAAACAAGGTTTGTTCATTGGAGCTACTTGTGAAACCTTCTTTGACAAAATAAGATTCAATCCGACTGAACCAGGCCCTGGGTGCCTGTTTTAATCCGTAGAGGGCTTTTCGCAACTTGTACACCATTTGTTCACTTCCTGCTTTTTTGTAACCTTTCGGTTGCTCCACATACACATCTTCCTCCAGTTCTCCATGCAAGAAGGCTGACTTGACATCCAATTGATATAATTTCCAGCCTCTTTGAGCAGCAAAGGCAATGATCATACGAACAGTATCCATTCGAGCCACGGGTGCGAAAACCTCTGTGTAATCTATTCCATACTGCTGGGTGTACCCTTTTACGACTAGCCTCGCTTTGTATTTGTCAACCTCTCCATGCTCATTCAGTTTTGTTTTATAAATCCACTTTACGCCAACCTTTTTTGCTCCAGCTGGTAGATCTATCAAGTACCAGGTGTGATTCTTCTCAATGGATTTTATTTCTTCATCCATAGCCATCCTCCATTTTTCACTCTTTACTGCTTCCTCATAATTAGTGGGATCAGAGATTACAAAATGGGCCATCATATTTGTTTCATCTTCATCGGACAGGCCTTCACCTGAAACAAAATCTGTTAGATGTATTGGGGGACGTCGAGTTCTACCCTCCCTTGGTACCAAATTTCTTCCGAGATCGGAAGTTCCCTCTGTTGGTGTAGGACTGCCAGATGTTTCAGCTGGTGAGACAACATCAGTATCGTTGCTAGCCTCGCTTTGCCCGGCTGTGTGTTCTTTTTCACTTTCAGGACTAATGTCGTTCCCCCACTCTAATTCAAGTATTTGTTTCTCTTGATAATCTGAATTCCAATCCCAAGCTCGATCTTCTTCGAACACCACATCACGGCTATGAATTATTTTTTTGGCAATTGGATCAAACATCCTGTATCCTTTGGATTCTTGGCTAAACCCAAAAAATACGCAGCTCACACTCTTCACTTATAACTTTGTTCTTTTTGCGTCTGGTATGTGTACATGACCAATACAGCCGAAAACTCTGAAATATTCCACTGTAGGTTTTTCTCCACTCCAGGCTTCCTCGGGCGTTTTGTCTTTTACAGCAAGTGTGGGTGATCTATTTAAAATATGAAACGTCCATTGTACCGCCTTTGGCCAAAAAACTTTAGGTATATTCTTTTCAATCAGCGTTGCTCTTACTAGATTCATCACGGTTTGATTTTTGCGTTCAGCTACTCCGTTTTGTTGAGGAGTATAGGCCATGGTTAGTTGCCGTTTTACTCCTTGCTGCTTGCAGAAATCATTGAACTTTGCTGAATTGAACTCTCCACCTCTGTCTGTTCTCAAACATTTAATTGGCAACCCAATTTCTTTTTCCACCAGCACTTTAAAACATTTAAAGTGGTAAAATGCTTCTGATTTTTCAACAAGGAAATAACACCAGGCCTTTCTTGAGAAATCATCAATAAAACATAACAAGTACCTCTTATGACTGTTTGAAGCTGGAGTGATCGGTCCGCATATATCAGCATGAACAAGACCCAGCTGCTCAGTTGCTCTCCATTTGCCTTTTTTTGGAATTGGATTTCGGTGCTGTTTACCCTTCACACATGCCTCACAAGTGGACTTTGGTGTTAAGATTTGAGGTAAGCCGATCACCATATTCTTGTCATTCAATGTGTGTAAGCCCTTGTAGCTGAGGTGCCCATATCGGTGGTGCCACAAAATTGATTCATCTGTACTGCCCACTTGAAAACATTCTTCATTAACCACAGTAGTAGGTGATTCTCCAAGCAGAATAAACATGCGATTTGCACTCATCACTGATTCTGCCATCTTTCCTTTTAGTGGATGGTAGAGGCTACACACTCCATCTTTAAACAAAATTGCTACCCCTTTTTCTTGAAGCTGTCCAACACTTAGCAAATTATTTCATTAACCACAGTAGTAGGTGATTCTCCAAGCAGAATAAACATGCGATTTGCACTCATCACTGATTCTGCCATCTTTCCTTTTAGTGGATGGTAGAGGCTACACACTCCATCTTTAAACAAAATTGCTACCCCTTTTTCTTGAAGCTGTCCAACACTTAGCAAATTATTTCTCAGTTCCGGTACGCAGTACACGTCACTTATAGTATAACACACTCCTTGTAGAAACAATTTTATCACTCCTTTTCCAATAACCTTCATCCTTGTGTTGTTTCCAAGCTTGACTGAATGGATGAAATTAGTGTCTAAGCTAGTAAAAATCTCCTGGTTACCGCACATATGATTCGAACAACCCGAGTCTACGAACCAAGCATCTCTTCTATTTGTCTCGTGAAGTTCGACATATGCCATCAGTAGTAGCTCATCTTCTTCCTCCAATTCGGCATAATTAGCTTCCCTGTTTGATTTTGGGCATTCATATTGAAAATGCCCTAAATCATGGCACTTGTAACATTCAATGGTAGCTTTGTTGAATACAGTTCTTCCTCTACCTCGTCCCCTTCCTCTATAAGAGCCTCTTCCTCTGCTAGTCGAGTTTGATCGTCCTTCAATTTTCAGCACCTGGTCGTCGTCTTCTTTGTGCACTCGACGAAACTTTTGTTCATGAACCACCAAGGTACTTTGTAGTTCATCAACAGACATGGTTTCAATGTCTTTAGACTCTTCAATGGATACACAGACATATGTGAACTTCTCTGTGAGGGTATGCAAAATTTTCTCAACAATTTTGGTATCCATCATCTCTTCTCCATTGCTCCTCATTTTGTTTGCTACCACCATCACTCTTGTGAAATATTCATTGACAGTTTCATCTCTTTTCATTTCAAGAATTTCAAAATCCCTTCTTAATGCGTTAAGAAGAGATTTCTTTACTTTCGTATTTCCACCAAACTTCTTCTTCATGGAATCCCAGACTATTTTTGCTGTGCGACGGTCCAGAATTTGTTCAAAGACTGTTCTGTCGATTGCTTGAAACAGATAATGTTTCACTTGATGATCCTTGGCTCTCGCATCATCAAGCTGAGCTTGCTGGGCATCTGTCAATCTTGTTTCCATCTGTGGTTCTTCAAAACCATTCTCTACCAAGCTCCAAAGTCCTTTGGCTCTAAGGAGATTCTCCATCAACTCACTCCAGTGATCATAGTGACCATCAAAGTGAGGAATCTTGGTCAAGGTTTTATCATCACTCATCCTCGCAGTGTTTGATCACTCAACAGTTTGTTTTCTATTTCTCAGGGCCAGTGGGGCTCTCAAATAACTCCTGTAGAATTGGACACTTGTTGACTAATTCAAAACTACCAGACTAATTTAAACTACCAACATATTTATCCGCACTAACATTTCGACTGAAGAATATCCTAGATTTTTTGCAAATTTGCAGGTTGTCCCGAAGCCGCTTCATAACACTATAAGATCCTCTTGATAACCATAACTTCCTGTTCAGTAGCCTGAAAAAAAAGAAAAAGTTGTCATCAGCAAATAATAAATAGCAGTAGCGAAAATATTCTAAATAGCAGAAAATAACTCCTGTAGAATAGGACACTTATTGACTAATTCAAAACTACCAGACTAATTTAAACTACCAACATATTTATTATTAAAAAAAAAAAAGGGTTTAGATTGGAGAACCAATAAAGAAACACCTGCCAAGACAAAGGGTTTCACCAAGAAAAGTGACTGTCATGAACACAGCAATAGCAATACCCAAAGGTTTGAACATTGCTACATATAAAGGTCCTTTCTTGCCCAAGCACAATGTGTGAAACTCAATTCGAAACAGACTCCCAAATGCTGCCTAAATCACACCAAATCAAAGGTTAATTATCTATTAATTCAATTAGGAAAAAATAAAAATATCCGGAGACTATTATTTGAATTTACATTTGTAAAATAAAATAAAAAGGATAAATAATTTTGACTCAATTAGAAATATTTAAATTTAATTAATATTATTATAATATAAAATAATAGAAATTAAAAAAAAAATATATTTTGAATAAAAAAATCATAATTTTAGAAATTTTTTGAATTGATAATATAATCAAATCAATATTCATTTAGTAAATAAATAAAAAAATGACTTTTCAATTATCTTAATTGCACAAAGTAAATCAATATAATTTAATAGTCACAAGTAGAAATAAATTGTCAGAAGTGGGATTTGAACCCACGCCCTCTTTCGAAGACCAGAACTTGAGTCTGGCGCCTTAGACCACTCGGCCATCCTGACTTATTTTTGAAATTTGCTCTTATATCTAATAGACATTTTGAAATATTGGGAAGCCAGCCTCAAATTAAATTACTTGGATAAGTTTTTCCTGGTATATTTTACTATTAAAAAATAAATTAATTTCGCTTATTAAAAATATAATAATGCTAAGCATTTAAAAAAAAGTCACTTTTGCTTTCTTAGATGGACTTGCTATGAGGCCTTCAAGGAAAATCAAGGAGGTTTTATGTGAGTTTTTTTTTTCTCACCTTTGTACTCATTATCTGCTTGCTTGGTTAACACTTTTCTTTTAATATTTTAATAAAAAAATTTAAAATTTAACAAACAGTATAGACGGTAATTCTCTGCACTGTATCCCAATAAATTTAAAAATAATTAATTGAACAATAATGCCCAACAAAGGGTATTATAATTTAAATTAATTAGTTTAAAAATAATAATTAATAAATTCACCAAAACGATTTCATAGGTACTATATCTGTAAAAACTCATTTAAAAGTATCTTTGAATATAAGTAAATGGATTTAGGACGGATATGGTTATTAAATTAACTACCCATAACAGGTTTAGCTCATGTATATTTATAGCTGCATACACTCGCTCCCCATCGGAACCCATTATATAATTTAAAAATATTTATATAATAAATATTTCAAGTGAAAGTTTAAGTGCATATTAATTTTAGGGGTTAATTATAAATTTAGTGCTTGAACTTCAAAAAATATTCTATTATTTTATTTCAACGGAAAATGTTTGCAATCAAGTATCGGAGCCGATTAATTTTTTTCAATTTAGTGTCGCCGTCCTATGGGGCTGGCTGAAAATATGAATATGACGCATGGGACCTATTTATTATTAAAAATGAAGCCGAGTATGATGCAAATAACATGACACGTTGATGTGTCTAGCAGTGAAGCGTAAACATCAAAGAACAAAATTGCCTCTAACAAAAACCCCACTCAGAACCCAACTCTTCTTTCTTAGCCTCCTCAATCGATCACAACCTCTCAATCAATTCCTCCATGGCAACAGCAATAGCCATCATTGATCAATCCAAAACCCAAATAAAAATATAATAATATTAATACCTATCTATATCCTTCTCCTCCTTCTCCTTCTACAACTAATAAGCAAGCATTTTAAAACCTGCAAAAAATCCCAAATGCCTTTACTTCTCTTACCTCCATAGATAAAACTCTCAAACCTAGAAGAGGGTCATGAACAAATTTCCATACCCAATAATCCCAAGTGCACAAAGTCTTGACAGAAGAGGAAATTTGAACAAGGCAACCGTCGTTCTGCTGCAAATTCAAAAACAAATCAAGTATATGATTATATTGAAGAGATACAAATTAAATCTGAAATTCAAACTAAAATTTATCTGTAATAATATCTATTTCTGTTTACAAGAAGATATGCAGAGAATAAAGAGAGGTACCTCCAAAGGAAAATTGGAACAGGGAGAAGGACGAGTGTTGAAGATGTTTGAATACAAGATGAATACATAATAGCTCAACCCTTTCAAAGAAGCAGCTTTGAACAGAGTGTTTAATCCTACACCTGCAACCAGTGTTGCAACCATAGCTACAACTGGTAAAAGTTCATCGTAAGTAAAAGTTACTTGATCCCATCTCTGTCTTTCTGATTTCTCCCTTGCAAAATTTAACTTTCTTCTATATCGAAGAAAACTTTTTATTTTGTCCGCAAGAAATTTGTTTCAAATGTTGCTGTTTCCTAGGGCTGAATCAGATGTTGTGACTTGGTCTGTGATTTTTTAAGGAGAGAGAGAGCAATTTATAGTTTTGTAAACCAATGCTCTTCAAATAAATTTAAAAAATGAGACAAATAAAACAATTCAAATGGCTGTTTTTGTTTCTAGAAGTGGACATTTGGAATATTCACTAGATAAATCAAAAATTTTTTTTACGTAAATCGAATCGAATCAAATCGAATTGATTCAATTTTGTTTAGTTGAATTGAATTTTAACTATTTTAATTAATTTAGACTTATTTTTTTAAATTCAATAAAAATCTAACCGAATTAAAAAACTTCAGTTCTTGCTATTATAAACTAAAATCAAACCAATTATATAAATAATTAAACTAAATCAATTTGATTGGATTAATTTGTTCAGTTTTTCCCGACTTTGCTTACCCGATTTGTTTAAATTATCAACTCAAATAAATTGTATCTTACATTCATAAAGAGATGTAAAATTTTCAGGTTACTTTCAATTAATCAATACATCATTTGTTTGGTTGCTGGCTCTTTATTTCAGGAGTATAGTTTAGTGACATTTAAGAGTTTATTTGATTTTCACTAAAAAAAAAGTTTATTATTTGATAATACGAAAGATTATTATCCATATAAAAAAATATTCATGATTCATTACATAAATTTGACAATAAAAATTCATTTACATAAAATTTGCACAATAAATATTTTTTTGAAAATGTTTAAACTGAGCACCGAATAGAGTTTTTTTTTTTTTTTCATTCAAGTAATGTAATTTGATAATGCACTGTCAAGGCCATAATCTAACAGTAAATAAGATGTATGACACTGACAATAGATTCGAGTTTGAACAATTCTCTCTAATATATATAAAATAAAAAAAAAAAAAAAGGGATTTGACGTAAAGGACAAAAACCCTGTCAAAAAAATTTACATAATGAGTGTGTTGGTTAAAGTACTAATAAAGAAAATCAAAGATAAAAAATCTTTAATTACAATTTTTGGCTACATGTTCATTAATGTGGTGTTTTGCAGAAAGGAACTCTTTGAGTAGATCTCAAGTCCACTGAAAATCGTTGTTCCCTCACGTTGATCTTCTTCATTTGCTTTCTCCGCCATAATCACAGTATGAAAACCCAATTGATATTATTAGAGCTCCATAATACTGCAATTTAATCATAATAAGAAATAATAAATAAATAAATAAAAAGACAAATTAATAAAAAATAAATAAGCTTATAATTTTGCTGATTTGATCTTAATCAGCATTTTATAATTTTACCCAAATATTGATATTTTTCTATTAGACTTAAAAGAAGAAAACTTTCAATTAAGAGAATCAATGGGTCCAGAATCTTTGGAATGAAAAGATGTTGATGAATATATTTAAGGCTGAGAAAAAAATCTAATTCACTGATGTTTTTTAATTATTTCAGTTTTTGACGCAAGTTAATGGGTATAAAATGCAAAATTAATGAATTTGAAGAATTTTCTTTTGTGAAATTGATTAATTCCAAGAATTATTAAATGGAAATAACGAATAATAATAATTAATAATAATAAAGATGAGCATATCATACATCCCAAGATGGAGAAGCATCCCAAGAAATACGAAAAGATGAGCATACATACATCCCAAGATGGAGAGCATCCCCAAGAAATACGACACCCATAAAAGCTGCAATAGCAATTGACAATGGTTTGAATATTGCTACATACAAAGGCCCCTTCAAACGCAGCCCCCATGAATGAATAACGTTGCTATAGCATGTTCCAAAAATTCCCTAAACAGATACCAAATCACATATTTAGATAACCTAATTAATATCACAAAAAGCCATTATCTTTTTTAACTCTTGCAATTTTATCTTAAAACTTTTTAATTTTTATCAATTTTACCATAAGCTATAATTGAAAGAAAATATTATTATTTTATTATTAATACTGATAGACCATAATAAATATACCATAAGCTTATTCGTTAATATAACAAGCCCTTAAATGAGCCTAAAATCATTAGCATACATGAGTATAAGACCGAGCGTTATAAATTGAAATTCAAAGGATTCAGTTCAGTAACGTTCGATCAATTATGTATTGAATACCTAAGTCAACCGCTTGATAATAAAATTCGTGTCTCCTTTTCAGATAACTGGATAATAGCTATATGCATTCCCTACAAAAGTCTTATAATTCTCTGTGTACGAACACTTAAGTTTATCTATCTCATATCAAAATAATAGTTCTTACTATTTTTCTCCCTGTTATCTTTTGTTTATTTTTGTAATTGTCAAATATTAAGGCTAAAAGCCTTTAAATGGTCCTTGATCTTGCATTAGTTAATTGCTAATTTAGTATTCAAATTCGGTTAATTGAGTCATTAATAAATGACTCTCTATAATTTCGAAGTATAATTTCGAAGTTGAAGGGTTAAATAGATTATATATAGTTAAAATTTAAGGATTAAAAAAAAAAAAAAAAAAAAAAAAAAAAAAAAAAAAAAAAAAAAAAAAAAAAAAAACACTTAACCGAGTATAAAATAGCAAAGTAATGGCCAATGAGGTTTGTAGTAGCCAAAGATCCAAAAAATAGCAAGTAATGCCAAATGAGGTTTTAGTAGCCAAGCATCCAAGTTGCTTTCCGCAACAAAGCATACTGGGGCGGATATGATGGTCACACACGAAGTGTATACAAATGTCACAACAAGCTCTTTTGGTTATATCTTCAACACCTCAGCCTACATCAAATTAAGTCATGATGATCAAGTTCTTCCACAGCAAATTGAGCCCTCTGTTTAAATTTTTTTTTTAAATTATATTATTTCTGTGTTTTTTAAATGTGAAACGAAAGAAAATGGAATTAAAAATGAAGATAAAAGTCAAAATTTCATATTAAAGTTCATGTGCAACTCTGGTGAGCTAATTCAGCATTTGATGCTTAATAGTTGCAGCGTTTTAGTAATAATTTAAATACTTAGGCTCCATTTGTTTCTGTAAAATAATTTACAGAAAAATATTTTCCATAATTTTTCATTGTTTGAGGCATTTAGAAAAATAAGTCAACGGAAAATATTTTTCTGGACAAAAGAGAATTAAGTTATTTTTTAAGGAAAACAACTTTCCATTTTCAAGAGAGTAGTAAAATATTTTCTGAACATTGACAAACCTTATAAATTCATATTTTTTAAATTTATTAATTATCATAATCGCTAGCACCAATCACCATTTACTACCAACCACCACTACCGGCAATCATTGCTGGCGACCGGCAGCCACCACCACGGGCTATCACCGACTTTTATAATTTACATTTTTTTTCGATCTTCTCATACTTAACAATAAAATTTTAAAATTTCTATTATTATTAATATTTTTTATAGTTTTATGAGATAAAAATTTTAATATTTTTAGATAAAAAATTTTAATATTGAGATAAAAATTTTAATATTTTTAACTAATTTTCAATATTACAACCAAACAACGGAAAATAAGTCATTTGGAAAATATTATTCAAGGAAAATGTTTTTCACTGAAAATATTTTTCAGCAAGTTATTTTCCTGTAAATTATTGTAGGGAAACAAACGGAAATATTAATTGTAATTTTTTTTTTTATTTAAACACCAAAATAGAAAAGATTAAAAGTTTAGACATCACTTGTATAATTAACCATATATTTTAATATTGGTATAAATTTTGAATGAGTATGTTTAGTGGTGTGGTTACGTTGTGGAGAAGGTGGGCTTGGAACCCAAAACTTAAATCAATCTCTCATTCTTTAAACAGATTAGCTCTCTTGTTTTGAGTATTTTATAGTTCGTCTCTCTTTATTTAAAATCTTGATTTCACCTTTGCGTACCTGAATAATGTACCAAAGTGAACAAAGAAGATATTCTGTAGCAAGCAAGAGGCCACCAATAATCCAATCAGACATCGCAGAGGCAAGAGGCCAACGAAAGGCCAACGAAATGAAATGGTGTTTGTCGAGAATATGTGGATAAAATGGTTGAGTGGATAAAATGGTTGGGCCTTTGTAGAAAAGAACCACCAACGCTCCTGCTATTGAAACTATAGTTCCAGCAATTTTAGCTTGACTGCTTGACCTTCTCATAGCTACCTTCTCCATCCTTTACACCCAAGGAGAGGTTAGTTACTAAATTAGCAATAAATTTGTTAGGATTACTTTGATTCCTAAAATTCTAAATTAATCATAAAGACAAATAACAACGGGATCTTTTATGATTAGCCTCCATAAAAAATGGATTAGACTTGAGTTTGAGGATTGAGACACACATACACACACCTGAACAAAACTGCAAAGGCAAAGGTAAAAGCTGGAGTTAGGTTGCTCATGGCTGAGGAAAGAGTTGGAGAACTGTATTCTAGGCCTTTAGTTCCAACTATCTGAATTAAGAACCTGCATACTTCTCCAGAAAACAAAAATTAATTAAAAAAAAAGAAAAGGAAAATTCAATGATAGCAAGAAAAATGAAAAAGGCAGATTGATTTATGAGATGTACTAATTACCCAAGAATGTACAATTACCCACAATGCGCAAGAAACACAAATTCCTATACGAGAAGAGGCAATTTGATTTCTGCTGCTGCTCTGTAATTCGCCATGAATAGATAATGAGAAAATAAGAAACTACTGTTTTACTATTAGATTAGAATCTATGAATAAGTAAAAGGAAAAGATTGAATTAGGAGAGAACAGAAAATAACTAAGAGCCCTGTAAAAAATGAACGGGCAGGTAGAAAACAAAGAGTTGAAAATTGCATAAGAATAAACTATGAATACATAATAACTCACCCTTTCGAAAGAAGCTGCTTTAAACAAAGTGTTTTACTCCACATTTGTGCATTCTACAGACACCATAGCTAATAAAAGGAAGCAATAATCTTTGTATAAAAACCCTTGGACCCATTTTACTTTTCTTTTTTTTTTTTTTTTTTTTTTAATCTCTGCTGCTCTGTTTCTGCACTGGGTCAGTTTAATGGTGGAAGAAAATAAGAAGAATACAGGAAATGGAATAAATTAGCGACAAAGTGTTGTTTAATTTATCACTTCAATCAGATGTGAAAAGAAAATTAATCAAATCAAACCCAAGGATTATTTGAGTTTTATTTTTTTATTTTTGTGATCAGTAATTGATGCGGAGCAACTTGCACTTCAAGTAATTGATGCGGAGCAACTTGCACTTCAAAATATGGAAGATTTGGATCGCTACAAACTCAAGAAGAAGGGGCACTACCGTGCCATATCCAGCACGGCCGTGCCAGCCTCTAGAAGCCCAGGATGCAAGACACGGTCAAGCTTAAGAAGCACAGACACGCCCATGTCACTTTCCAACCCGCCCGTGCTAGCCTCTGGGAGTCCAGAGCAAGCCCATGCCATGTACAGCACGCCCATGTCGACAGGTCCAGCTACGATTCGCATATAGATACGCCCGTGTCACTTCCTGCACGCCCCGTGCTAGCCTCCGGAAGCCTAGGACATGCCTGTGTCATGTCTAGCACGCCTGTGTCATGTCTAGTTGACTTTTGTATTATTTTTAGGGTTTTATGCTTTAGGCTAACCTATAAATAGGTTATTTTGTATTATTTGCACATTCATTATCTTTTGATCATTATTCATATTCAATAAACTTCCTTGAGAGTTTAATTCTCTAATTCTTTTGTCAGGTCAAACGTCATTGATCAAAACTCATGACGGAGTATAATCGTTATTTCCATT